TCTGTAATAAAAGACGTGAGGAAATTCTGTCTTTTTTAAAGACAAAAATTTTTGAGGCGAAATACCCAAAAAGAAGTTTGTAAAAAAATGAATCGCTTCAACAATATAGAACGTATCTATCTGCTTAGTTATCGAAAATTTTACCATTGTATGTGTATTACAAACTATTTTGTTTGGTAAAGGGCAACGTTTGTGAGTGACAGTTGCCGATAAATTCGTAATTACATATATAAAATGTTTACTGTTGTTATTTTTAGTGTTACACACACATATCGGCCAAACAAAAACTATCCCCGCTTATTTACAATTTACAATAAAGCAATCTTGTTTAATAAACCATTTATGTTCTTTTTCATACGCAATTATTTGCATTATCTTTATTTCTCCTTTGTGTAAATGAAGATAATGCGCATTTTATTAGAGAACATTTTTTCAAGCCAATTTCTTAAAACCCAGCTAAGGATCGCATCTATCCGCTTTAAAGATTGAGGCGTGGTTTCAAACGCAATTTCCATCTCCAGCCAGTAATGCCAACTTAAACTGTCTGACCAATGGCAAAAGGTGCACGGATATAAACAAACGACTGACTTACGTTTTGGCACTAGCTTCGACAAAGAGTAGCCCATTTTCTTCGGCAAACTTGCTGGCTTCTTCATAAGTGACGTCGCGTTGAGCCTCCAGATCGCACTTGTTACCAATGAGAAAGATCACTGTGCTGGGATTGGTCAGGTTTCTGGTGTCGGTCAACCAGCTGCTCAGATGATTGTAGGTGGACCGTCTGGTAATGTCATAGACCATAAGAGCTCCTGCCGCGCCCCGATAGTAGGACCTGGTGACGGCGCGGAACCGCTCCTGTCCTGCCGTATCCCAGATTTGAAGTTTGATTTTTTGTCCGGAGACTTCGATGATTCTCGTGCCGAATTCCACTCCAATTGTGTGAGGACAGTCAGCCATGACTGCGGAAAATCCCCAATTAAACGAGTTTAGGTAAAACAAATAGCAGGATTTACATTTCTTTTCAGTGAACTGGTGGAGAAGACAGGACTTGCCCACTCCCATGTCCCCGATGATAATGTACTTGAAGATATACGAGTAATTGTATGGCCCCGCCGACATTTTCCTGCGAAAAAACCAAGCGTTAGTTTGTTTGCTACCTATACAGCATTGATCACAAAAGAGACACCTGGATATCAGTAAACATCAGCAAAACCTCCACTTTACTTACGCTTGCCGTGTTGTTGGACCGCGCTCCTGACCACTAGATTAATTAACAGCAAATGCAATTGTTCTTAATTACGCTGAAAGTTCTTAGTACTCCTAATTTGCAGAACAATAAACTTAGATGTGGGTGGCCATCAAAACACGGAATTAAACAGTGACAGATGTGGCGACAAATGTGTCATGGCCGACCATATCATCTGATCCGCTATCTTCTATTGGCCACACTGCACACTTGCACTTTTCATTAAAACAATGGCTTGGGCAACGTTGCGCGCATCACTCATGTCATGGAAACTTTGACAACTGTAAAAGGTTTTTCAATTTTCATGGCATGGTGAATTTAAAAGCGCTAATTCCGAAAAGACTAAAATAACAAACCGCTTGCTTAAGGTTAACAGTGTCCCAAATCCCAGTGTTTACCTACTTTAAGGTCGGGCATTTAACGTTGAACTAGGCGTAGAATTCGTGCAGTGTTTTGAGGTTATCCAAGTTTAAATTGAAATGCTCAATTCGAAGGAAGTGGCAAAGTCTCAAATGGAATCAAACAGGAGCTATTTACACGACCGCTTTTCACTAGTACCTAAAGGGACATCAACACCAGTAAACTCGCACGGTTTTGCTAGCCAAACTCAACTCTCACCAGCAGCGTCAGCGAAGCAAGGAACTCCTAGAAGGTAAACTTGTAGCTTACTCGCTTTTATCTTTTACCCAAAAAAAACTACCTTTAAACATTAGTCGTTGCACTAAAAACACACTAGATAACCTCTTCCTTCTTAAAATAAAGGGCACTGATCTCTGAAGAAAACATTCGCCAATTTAAATATGTGAAAAAAGCAGTGTATACTATCAGCAGCAACTAACTGATAAAATCACTTTCAGATACTCACTATCAGCACTTTCAACACCTTCAACTAGCCGCTCAACCCCGAGATACCAACAGTGCCAAGGCCCCTTGCTAACGTCATTAAACTACAAAGACAATGTTAGTATGTATGAAGAAACAAAAAGTTGCGGCCTGGCCAAACGCATTGTCCTCTATAATGAAGAGGCAGAGGAAGAGCGACGAGTAACTCACCAGCAAAGATATAACGGCCTTGGCCTGTTTCCTGTAGTGCATTTGTTCAAGCAACAGTCGCCCGTCTTGGGCCCGTCCTTAAAGAGGGTGAAAGTGAAATTGTCGAGTCCAGGTAAGTGGATTCGCGACGAAGCAGAAAAAAATTTATCTGAAATGTTGGAAGAATATTTAAGATTGTGTCCTCCCGAAGAAAAACGTAAACTACTGAAAGACATGACTAAACCTCAACCAGCCTTTAAGAGACAAATCAGTCTCCCCTCGCATAGTTCAACCCCCGATATAGGCACTAAAAGCGTTTTGGACGCTTTGAAGGAGATTTCGCGCAAGCGAATTCATTCAGAAGAGGTACGTAGATCAACACAACTTAGATTAAGTTAAAATAACCACTTCAACGTTATGAGTTAACTAACTTCACGCTGTTGCAGGAACACGATTTTCCTGAAGAATGGGGCAAGCGAATGAAAACCCATATACCAAACGGAGCTGCAACTCCAACTTCAAAAAGAGCTCGTGCTGACTCTCCTTTAGAAGAATCACCGACCAGTCCCACATTGAGACAGACAAAGAAGAAAATATGCGTCTATGACGAGTTCACTGCCTCAAAATCCTCTTCAGATTTGTCTACACTTTTGAATTTTGAACCTCCGAGAATCAAAAGGAAAACTATTAGTAAGTTCACACGATTTCCAAGTACTTTTCATTAATATATAATTTAATTACTTTTATTAATTAAACTTGGCTCTTTCTTAGGCACCTCTACAGAGTCCTTGATCGCACCCAAACATGTTAAGTTGGTGAACGTTGAAACACAAACAATAATCCCAGTGAGTGAAAGTAAACCAGAACCCCCGGCGCCTGTTTCGGTTCAAGAAGATAGCAGGACTAAACACGCAAATAGTTCTATTAAAGTATTTGATGACGCACGTCTGGACCGAATTAGGAAAAGTAGACTAGCAGCCTTGATGGGCAATTTGGCTGGCAAAGACGCTGCCTTGCCGTTAAAGCAACTTGTCGAAGATGAACAGACTAGTCAAACTGTAGAACAAGATAAGCCGAAAACTACTGAAAATACAACACCGGCTGCACCCAAAGCTCCCTTGGTATCAAGTTTAGCACCAGCTACACGTTCATCCAGCCCTTTGCCAGTTAAACAGGATAGACATGTCCACTTTAACGTGCCAGCACCCATCACTTCACAAGCTGAGCCTCTCTCAGTGCCAACATCCATTACACCTGCTGCTGTTGGTCCAGCAAAAACTCCAACTTCAAGTCAACCGACCTTTTCAATTAATTTTGCTGATTCTAAGGCGAAAGCCGACCTTCCAGCTTCTTCCTCCGCATTCGCCAGCCCAGTTTCCACCAAGGTTCCAACAGAGTCGCTCAATGCAAGCACGCCGCTTGCACTCTCATTCAGTAAACCGTCATTATCTACTTCAAATGCTTCTGAAAAACTTCCGAGTACACCACCAGTGATCAGTAAGAAGACCTCACCATCTAAGCCCGGAGGATTTAAATTCGATTTGAAGGCTCCGGCTGCAACGCCGCCGACCACAAGCCAAAATAGCCTGGCACTTCCTTCTGCTGACAGTTTTATCTTCAACAAGCCAGAGCAAAAAGCTTTGTCCTTTGGCAACGAGGCGCAAAGTAATGCTGGGTTTGGCTTGGCAACAGCAACCAACAGTTTCAACACTGCACCAGCTCCAATCACTCCTGCATTTAATTTCGGAACATCCACCAACGACCTTAAGTTTGGAAACTTTGCATCCAAAAGTCCAGCAGCAGGATCTGTGCCAACGACTTCAGACTCTGATGGCCAACGATTATCCTTTGCAGCCCCGGCTGCCGCTCAGAACTCCGTCAAGCTAGTGCCAAGCACTGGATTTGGAGGGAGCGTTCCAGCTTCCACTGCGCCTTTATTTGGAGCCAATCAGACCAGTGGTTTTGGAGCCCCAACAGTTTCTTCAACAGCCAATTCCTCCAAGTTCGGTTTCGGTAGTAACCAAACCTCAAACGCATTCCCCAGTGCAACAAGTGTTGTGTCTTTTGGCACCACCACGCCTGCATCAACGTTTGGAAACGTTGATGCTACTAATTTTGGTGCCCCTGCAACTACTTTGGTTAGTTTTGGTGCCAGCAGCGTTCCCCCTTCAGCCTCTTTTGGCGCGCCAAGCACAACTCACCCATCTAATGCTTTCGGCGTTGCAAATACACTATCTACTTCTAAATCCTTCGGTGCGCCCAGCGCAACTCTAGCATCTAATGCTTTCGGCGTGCCAAATAAAACATCTGCTTTAAGTCCCTTCGGTGCGCCCAGCGCAACTGCTGCTGCAAGTGCTTTCGCCACTCCAACTACAACAGCTGCAGGCTTCGGTGCGTCCAGCTTTAACATGCCAACCTTTTCAACAAGTCAATCGGCGTTTGGAGCACCTAAATTAACCCCTTCTGTGACGGCGTTTGGCGATGTCACGCTCGCAGTTTCTCCAGCTCTGAACTCTTCCAACATGCTTGGTAAAACCACACAAGCGCCGATGTTTGGAAGCGGCACCAACAGCGCTTTTGGGGCGCCTGTGCAGCCGTCGTCGTCTGTGTTTGGCGCTGCTGCGACAAAGTCTTCAAATCCTCCACCTCCTTATGGAACCAGTGTATTCAGCGCTCAATCTGGAACGTCTGCGCCAGCATTCAAGGCGAATTCCACGCCGGCTTTCAGTTTTGGGGCCAATAAAACAGAAAATGCTTTTGGGGCTTCTACAACAACGACGCCAAGCGTGTTTGGGGCGCCCACCTCGTTCACTTCCACTAGTGGTTTTGGATCTGGGGCTCCGACCTTTGGAACCACCACCACACCGAGTACCTTCGGAGCTGCGCCTGCCCCTAGTTTTGGTCAAACCGATAACAAGCCTGCGTTCACTTTTGGAGGAGCTGACGCTAAACCGAGTTCTATCTTTGGGTCGGGCAGTGCCAACTCCTTTGGCAAACCAGCAAATACGGCCAGCACTGGATTCGGTTCCACTGGCAGCAATGTTTTTGGTAAGTTGCAATCTTTCAAGTCGGTTACTCAGACATTTAACTTTTGGAGTGAATCCTAAAAAAACTGTTAATTTTAATTTTAGGTTCCTCAAACCCGGCTAGCACTGTGAACACTCAACAACCAGCTGGAGGTTTTAACTTCGGCTCAAATGCTTTACCCACGTCGACTCCATTTGCATTTGGTCCTAGAGGCAGCACTGAACCAGCAAAGCCTTCATTCAGCTTTACAGGTAGTCTTTTGCTTTGCCACCTTAATCTAATCCACACTTGTACTGGTGTGCTTTTCAGGTCAGAGTCCAGCCACTTTCGGATCTTCGAGTGTACAGGCGCCTCCCTTCGGAGGGGCAGCGTCCACGCCAAATTTTTCAGTAGTAGGTGCCGCCCCACAACAGCCTGGTGTGTTCAATATTGGCACCGGATCGGGTGTAAAACAGCGAGCGCAGCTTAGAGCAAAGCGAAGGACTTAGAAGCATTAAATGTAATTATGTTTGCTTGTTTTAAGAAATTCTTTAATTTTTTTTGGAAAACATCTTAATTTGTTCGTCAATTCGAAATAGCAAACGTTGAAAATGTGAAAGTCAGATGCGAATGATAGATGTATTTATCGTTATGGGATGTAAGCATGATCTATTTGGCAATGTGTGATGTGTCTGTTTTAACTAATCAATTGTGATAATATGTAAGCAAGATTACATATATTTTTTTACTTCAAATCATGCTTGCTGAGGCATAACTAGGAAATTTGTTATATTATTCATTGTAAAACTTGGCATTATAAATGGCTCATTCTTTACAGTGCACAGTCATCAGTTTACTTGTTATTTTAAACCCTTATTTCTTTAAGAGTAAGCAAGTTAATAAATATTGCATTATTGCTCTTAAACTGTTCGCACTTTATTTTTCAATTTTCTTCAAACACACAAATCCAAACAGTTTATATACGGGACTATCTAACTACAAATTTGGGGTTTTCACACTCAGAACATCACTAATTATTTTAAAACTTTCCTCCAATACTCCTAGGCCAGTTAGTCTACATGTTAGTCAGTTAAAATCTAGTATATTTACGATCCACACGAGCTGATAAATGTTATCCAATTTATTGCTTAGCCTTTCTAGTATAGGGCTTTTTGCTTCGGTTATGGAACTTGAAAAATTGTTGAGTTTTGCTACCAACTCGCTCCTTATTGAATTGAAACTGCTGAATAACCGGCGTCTTGGTCGCGATAGAATCGTTGATTTTCAGCTCGTCCTCCTTCTGTTTCATTAACTGCAACTTTGCTTCTATGGCTTGAATTTGAGACATCCGGTCGGTTTTCTTCGTGTCTTTGCTTAGAGCTAAAGCGGGTATACTAACGGAAGGTTTCGGTTTTTCTTGACTGCCCGAATCCTTAAAACAACACTTTCCTCAATTGTTCATGGATGGTTTAAACGCAGCTCCTTACCAAGTCGGCACTATGCGCCCAAGTAACAGCCAGTCGCTTCTGCCCAACTAGCTTGCCGTTTAAACAGGTCTTTGCGCCGCTTGCGTCCTTACTGCTATTGTAAGTGACGAAGGCAAATCCTCGAGGCAGGCCAGCAAATGGGCCCGTACGATGGAAAATTAGGTCAAACTTCTCGATTGTGCCATGGGTTTGTACGAGTTTTAAAAGTTGATACCAATAAAAAGGAAAAAGCACTGTGTTAATACACGAACAGTCCATTGTTGTGCCTGCAATTTTGATGAAGAAAATTGTACAACTTACTCGGTAACACGAGAGTCCAAATTTCCTATCCAGAGCTTCCGATCCTCGCACGACGAAGACTTTGCCGGACCTGCCATCGTTTCACAACTATTTCTTTGGTAATTTCATTAACGGAAATATCCTCTGTAGAACTCAGGTGTATTTATTTATAACAAACGTCTTTTTGTTTATGCGAGTCCTTCATCTTACTTAACCTAAAGTAACTAGATCTGTCAACGGTGACTTAAGTTACTTCAAGGGTTTCAAGATAAAGTCACATATGGCAACGCTGCTTTAAAGGCGGGTTTTTAAAATGGTCACTACACTCACTGAATCACTATTCGCGCAATAAACTCGATTTTACTGAAAAAACTATATATTTTGAGACACACTTGACATATTTTTTGTCCAAAAAAAGGCTGTTTCAAAATAGGCGTCAAGGTACATTTTTATAAAAAGAACTAAATTGCGAATTGTGTTAAAAAACATTTAATTGCCGCACCAAATTTGTTGGTAAATTACTGATTTAGACAATAATGAAAACATTTTTTTGTAAAAACAAAATTTAGAAAAAATTGGTAATTTCGAACGCTATATGGATAAATCAAGCTTATCTGAATCCTCTATTTATCAGAAATAAATTTTTAACGTGAGTGAACCATGCGCCATCCAGTTATAGATTAGCAAAGTACATTGCTCGAAGAACAAAAATCATTAAAAATGCAAATTATCATCGACGCTTCGTAGTATCGAGTTGTGGGTAATTTTTTGCGAAAATATGCAGACTATTTCGAGTTTAAACGTACGACGTAGATTAAACATTACCATTGAGAATTGTTACCACTCAGAATACTAGAAAAGCAAAATTTGTATACAATTACTACTAAAAAAAATTCCTTATACACACAGAGACAAGCCCGTGAAAAAACTGGTAATTTTTTTACGATTTTAAGCCCGTCGTGAAACAGAATTTCAGGCTTGCGAAACTTCCGGAAGAAATTCTTTTCCACAACAATCTCAACAATAAAAGCCCGAAAAACGTACCAGGTTTAACCAACGATAGCGTAATCCTGATTCTTTGGACATACAAAACCGTATTCTGATTGCAACACGATGTACGTCTGATGCAAAATATTCGAAACAAAAATAATTTCTTGTCTACGCGCGTTATCAATCCCTGATGGGGACATCGCCTAGTCATGAATGAAATTCTTCTATTATCATGATAATATTTTGATTTTGGCCATAATACAGCGTAAAAACCAAATAAGTGACGCTTAAGGTTTCAAAATATTTCGTGTTTTGAGTAGGCAATTGATTTTAATGATTATTTCACAAAGATGATGTAAATTTAGACAAGCTTTGGCTAATAAAACATATAGGATATCAGTCGCAATTGGGTCCATTAGAACGATAAAGAAGAAATGCAAAACATCAACACGAGCCAGGAAAGTGATGTCTACAATGGAAAAATTGCATAAAGGGCATCTTATATCCCGTATTTCCATTCACCTAATGATAAAAACTCTGTCAAAGATACAATTTCCTAGTACTACTAGAATATCAGGAAAAAAAACGACCAGCAGATTAAAATCCATTCAAGCAAACACATATATATAAGGTTGCGATACATAATCGAATTACCGCGCGCACGAAACGTGATAAGGAAGCCTTTCAACACTACAATCCTATGCCAACTTATTAAATTAAGATTTCGTCAGACCCTGCGGGATACTTAAAAGCACAGTGGACTGCGATGAAGCCATCAGTTTTATGAAAACACTCCTCTACTGCTGTTAGCGAAACACCAATCAAATGGCTCAAGTAATAACAAATATTTTTACAACTACTGGATCCAGTGGGAGCCTACTGGCGAATAAACCCATTAGTCTTCAGGAGGTTTCCTGGCATGATACATTCAACGATTGCTGGATAGTTATTTACGACAGAGTCTACGACATCACGGATTTTCTCAATGAGGTATGTGAACCAAGTGCTCAATGGTGCAAATTTGCTGATTTTTCCATTGCCTACAGCATCCAGGGGGAGAAGACATCCTGGTGGAACATGCGGGAAGGGATGCGACGGTTGCTTTTAGAGGAAGTGGCCACAGTGCACAAGCCATTAAGGCCCTGGATAAATACCTGATTGGAGAGCTGCCTCAACATGAACGCATATTCAGGAAGCCTGGAGGAATACAACTTAGTGACTTGCCTACGTAGGGAAGAGCACACGGTTAAACGCCAAGGCTTAAAGCAGTATTACAATCGCCATTCACTAGCGATATTTGAGAATTAGGCAAATTAGAGCTAATTCACTGTATTAGTACGTTTGACTCCCAGCTAGGAGATATGAAAACGTAAACTTCAGTATCTTCGTGGTGTTAGTTTAAGTATTTATGTAATTTATCGTTTTCTACTACCTGATTTTGAATAAAACTGTGCGATAAACAAGCGTTTTTTATATTATTCGACAACTTATCTGGTGCTGTTGTCAGCCTTATTACACTGATGTTATTAATAGCATACCTCTATGGAAACCTCCGCCTCCTGTTGCAGCAACAGAGCCAAATAAACAGGCCGACCAATCCAAGAATGTACAGATTGATAACAGTCGATTCTCTTGGCATCTCGCATTTGCCGATGGCATAGTTATTCGGAGTGAACACGCCCTGCAATAGTCCAAAGTTTACTACTAGTCAAAATCAAAATATTATTCGCTTAAAGCGCGCTCCAGAAGCTTCCAGATAAGAAGTCTTAAACCACTTGGCAACTAAATGATCAGACCTGGAAGCCCAAGCAAAAAAATTTGATTTTTTACGGCTTTCGGAAGCGGCAGGTAGAGTAGGTTTTTTTCAGCTCATTGTATGTTTTAGCCTAAAAACCCCGTTTGTTAAACACGCAACACGTAAAGGCCATCGTCCTCAAGCTGACCACACGGTAATCAATCGAAAGCATTTCAACACGCTATTTCTTTTAAAAGATTGCGGAATAGGTCACAAAAATTCTGCGGGTTAAATCGGAAAACTAGTTTAAAGTGGACATTCGCGATAACACCCGCTCTATTCAAGCACATGTTGAAATAATATTTCAAGAAGTTTTGAACAAACAACGCAAAAAAATAATCACTCATAAATAACCAAGTATACAGGGTGTGACTCTAAAGCAACCAAGCTTCTGATTTTTTTTTACTTTCGATCATATTGAGAACTTTAGTGAATACTCAAATTCCGATCAATTCTGATTCACCTTGTTGCATGGTCTTTATGCACAACAGTTTTTTTTCTGTTTCAAACGGTCGCTTGGACAATTTGAACAACATTTTCGTCAAACAGGAACAAATGATGAACGTTGGAACCAACGGGAAAAAGAACAGGTGCAAAAACTATACAAGCTCGATAAAATCATAAACAGTCACACAAAAATCCGCATTTTTATTTTATTTTGTAACGGTAAAATTTAGCAAATAATGGTGAAAATTTCAGAAGCGACTGATTTTTAAGTACCAACCTGCTACTCTATTTTCGACCGAACAAATACATATAAACGGAACACACAGATGAATGATTAAATATAAGAACTAGGAGAGAAAAGAACAAGTATGAAAAAGGCAGACAAAATCTGTGAAAACCAAACATTAAATGACTTTAAACTGCAACTCACCAAAGCATAATTAGGATTATCCTTATTCCTCCAGCTGAAACTGGGCATGGTAATTTCAATGCCATCGCCTACTGGAAGTCGCCTGGTACATCCATGATGCGTATGCCCCGATAAAGCCAGGCGGGGCTTGATCTGCAAAAAATCAACCACTTCACACTTTGATTCATTGCCTATTTTTCCAATTAGCACCTGCTTGAGAATTTGATCTGTCGCCTCCTTGCTAAGACATTCCCATTTTTCCCGGAAGCGCTCCTCCCGTTCCGGATAAGGAGCTGCATCGAAATCCGTGCAGTCTTTATCAGAACCGCGATACAGCGGGTAATGCTAAAAGGCGCTGAGTTACACGTTGCTTCTCATTTCGCGTTCTTTTGTGCCCACCTGCATTAAAATTGGCCTGCTGTAAGCGCTCAGAGTGGCTGGCAGACGGTCGCAGGCTTCGTTGGAGCTCTGAGAGCATTTTAACAGTTTGGCCACTTTGGCCAACTCTTTTTCAGCTGGCTCGCACAGAAAGCAACCATCGCCTTCCAAAGCCATGCTATTGACCAGGACAAAGTGATTCCCTCTGACACTGATCAGCTGCACTGCGAGTGCATTGAATCCTTCCTCGAACCTCTTCTGAGTATACGGGTGGATTCTACAAACCCCATCACTTGGTCTTCATCCAAACCACTCATATCACTCTCACCGATAATGGAACCCAATATCATGATTGCCTGCCACAACATACATGGTGGTTTCACCAGGCACTTGGAACAAGCTGAAAAACCTTTCTATGTAGTATCTGAACTCGCTGTCACTGCAAAAGGAGCCTTCATCCAAAAGGTCGCCCAAAACAAACACTAGCTCAGGCTGGTGCAAAGCTACAGCTGTTTGGAACGCCCTATACATTTGCCATTCGCGTCTCAGCTTGTCCAACCAGTGCCCTTTGAGAGAGCCCAGAAGATGAGTATCTGCGATTACCAAAATCCTCACTGGGTTCTCTTTTGAGGTGATGTTCTCTTGCTTAGTGGGGTCCAGAGTAGGCCAAGAGCACTACAAATGGAAATATAAGCGTGATTATATTGAGAGAGCGAGCGTGAGATTATAAGTATTGGGTGACCGAACGAAAAGCTTAATGTTGGGAAGATTTAAAAAAAAACGTTGATTTCTAAGGTTTCGGCAAAACAACTTCATTAGACTTCGACATATGTAACTCTGACATTGAAAATATTCTTATAAGCTAGATAAGCTTTATAGAGATTTGTTGCAAAAAATGCTTGTTTTCTAACAAATAAAAATGTCCTGTGCTATTCTGGCCGGTAGTGCAAGTTTTAGGCGAACCTTCCATCAAAAAGTTTATCATGATAGTGACAAAAATTACGATTTTGACAAAAAATGTTTGTTTTACCGTTTTGTGCTATTTTCCCGGCCCGTTGTGTGATTTTTAGGGCAAAAACGCGATCTCAACTTGAAATAAGTTGAGAACCGTCTATGGTTTGCTGTCCTATGAAAACGGAGTAGTTGAAATGGGCCTACTATAGTCACGAGTGTGGAAAAATGTTGACATTAAAAAGGTTTTTGTCCTAGCACGAGAACGTAAGAAACTCACAAGTCTCAAAATGGACTATTTGGACACAGAAATTCCCCAAACTCACTTCTCACTGTACAAAGCACGGTAATCTACGGCGATTCAACTCTGAAACGTGATACTTACATGCATTTGAACTAAGTAGAATATTAGGTATTCACAATAGAATACTAGAAGTAGAATACCAAACAGTGTTCGTAAAAAACTGCTAAATGAAACTTTCAGTTTCATTTTTGATTGGTACTCTTTAGAACCAGAGAGCCCTCACCTGGTTTCCATACGTAGTAGCATAGATAAAGACGAGTAGTAGTAGGTTTATCTGATTTAGAAGCATCTCTGTTGATGAACCAACCACAAAATATCTGCCCAAAAATAAAAAAGGGGGTATGTTCTGTGGAACCAACTCCTTGTTGTTTATTTACCTTTTTGATAACCGGAAATGGCCAGAAACAAAATAACCTGTCTTATACTAACCTAGCTTTCTGATTAGCTGCCAGTTAGATTTCTCTTTGAGTTTGATTGCATTATCCGTAGGTGTCGCTAGTGATATACAGCAGGCATGTAATCCAAAACATTTTTTGTTCCCAATCCAAAAATATTTAGCCGAAACACAAATTAAAAAAACGTTCCGCTTCAAACCAAAACAAGTCGAGAATTCCCTGTGGATCTAAAGATTAATTCTTCCGGAATCGACAAAAATTGGTTGCGGTTGGAATGGCAGTCCAGACTGGAAAGAGCTGTGACTATTATCTAAGCACGGTAATAAAACAGACATCTGGCAACTTTGGAATCAATCAAAACAAAACACAAATTTCGTCAGCCATTCATGCCGTATACCGCATGTTTGTCACTTTGTCATGCGCCCCTTGTATATTTACGAATTGCGCTAGTCGACGGTGTTGTGTAAGGGGTGTTGTGTGTTAACACTAAAATTCGTTTTATTCCACGGAAAATTGCCGGATTTTCGTATTTTTTTCGGCTTTAAAAGTGGCACAGAACTGTAATTTTACCCCGAAGTCTTGCGGATTTCGTGCCGTTTGTTTTAATGCAGTGCTGACCCAGATCTGGGGATATGATTTTCACTTTGAACCACTTCCAGTGATTGCTAGACCCTCTAGACAGTAATTTATTGTTTTTATTATATTTCAGAATTGCATGACAGACATGAAGTAATTGGTAAGTGAAAGTGCAGTTTTTTTGCTCTGATTAGCGTATTTTGCCCCCCTCCCCTTCATTGAGTAATCAGCACGTGAATCCCCACGATTTTACAGAGTTAAGGTCAAATATCGCGATATTTAGCAAACGCTGGATGAATAAGCCGAAATTGGACATTATTTAAAAAAATGTGTTTAATTTTGTGTTATTTTCCTCCAATTCAATGAATCCCAGCCGTTTGGAAACATTATTGTTGAATGAATGGCAAATCGAGTTCATGCCGTTTCGTAATTAGTGCATACTCGAAAACTCACAAAGCTACGTAGATGCGATTTCTAATATAAACGCCGTGAAATAATGGTGTTCGCTCGAACGATTTCAAGTAGGTACTTAGCAGTAGAGACTTCTCAATATTACATCCGCTTCGAAGGACCAAAAATGCCCGCTTATTCACTGTTAATTGTATGATTGGGTCCAACGTTTTAAAACTCACCATGCGTCTTTAAAGTTTGGGAAATTTCAATTTGCTACTTGCATTAGTTTGGAAGAAGAGCGTAGTTTGGCATGGGCATAAATATCAATTTTGAGACCGATATTCACTAAGCTGGTAAAAACCAGGATTCTGGTTGATTTTTATAAAACTTTCAGCATGTTTAGCGCCTACTGTTTCCCAAAGGTGCTGAAATTTTCAAATTTCTTCCTCCCCTAGTTTAGAAGATGCGAATTTTTAAAGAGAGGCGCGCAGTTGGGTACCGATTCATTTTGAGACCAGCGCTTACTTAGATGCAAAAATCAGAATTTCGGGCGATTTTTATGAAATTTTAGCATCTGTAGAGGCAAACGTCTTCAAAGGATGTTGAAAATTTCAAATGGCTACTTGCCTTATTTTGGAAGATTTTAAAGAGGAGCGTGCACAGTAAGCGCAGTTGGACATGAACGTCAATTTTGAGACCGATATTCACTAAGCTGGTAAAAATCAGGATTCGGGTTGATCTTTATAAAACTATCAGCGTGTTTAGCATCTACTGTTTTCCAAAGGTGCTGAAATTTTCAAATTTCTTCCTCCCTTAGTTTAGACGATGCGAATTTTTAAAGAGAGGCGCGCAGTTGGGGACCGATCTATTTTGAGACCAGCGCTTACTTAGATGCAAAAATCAGAATTTCGGGCGATTTTTATGAAATTTTAGCATCTGTAGAGGCAAACGTCTTCAAAGGATGTTGAAAATTTCAAATGGCTACTTGCCTTATTTTGGAAGATTTTAAAGAGGAGCGTAGACAGTAAGCTCAGTTGGACATGAACGTCAATTTTGAGACCGATGTTCACGAAGGTGGTAAAAATCAGGATTCTGGTTGATTTTTATAAAACTTTCAGCATGTTGAGCGTCTACTGTTTTCCAAAGGTGCTAAAATTTTCAAATTTCTTCCTCCCTTAGTTTAGACGATGCGAATTTTTAAAGAGAGGCGCGCAGTTGGGGACCGATTCATTTTGAGACCAGCGCTTACTTAGATGCAAAAATCAGAATTTCGGGCCATTTTTATGAAATTTTTGCATCTGTAGAGGCAAACGTCTTCAAAGGATGTTAAAAATTTCAAATGGCTATGCCTTATTTTGGAAGATTTTAAATAGGAGCGTACACAGTAAGCACAGTTGGACATGAACGTCAATTTTGAGACCGATATTCACTAAGCTGGTAAAAACCAGGATTCTGGTTGATTTTTATAAAACTTTCAGCATCTTTAGCGTCTACTGTTTTCCCAGCACCTTTGGAAAAGGTAAATTTTCAAATTTCTGCCTCCCTTAGTTTAGAAGATGCGAATTTTTAAAGAGAGGCGCGCAGTTGGGGACCGATCCATTTTGAAAATCAGGATTCCGGGCGATTTGCAAGAAACTTTCAGCACTTTTAGAGACGAGAAAAACTTGAAATTCCTGCCTCCTTCAGTTAAGAAGATGCGAATGTTTAAAGAGAAGCGCGCAGTTGAGGAGGAACATTCATTTGTGTGTGAGATCGATCCTTGTTAAGCTGGCAAAAATGGAAACTGGATTCTTCAGATTCAACTGTCTTCCAAAACTGGATAAAAATTCAAATTCATTCCTATCGCTGTGATTTCAGAAGATGCGAGCACGCAGTTGGGGATGACTTTCATTTTGTGAGATCAAGTATTTGTAATTAATTTTCTGTAGGAGAAAAATTTTTATAAACCTTCTGCTTAAGGAAAAGTGGATGTTCATGAGCAAAATTCTAAAGCAACATCACAGTCGTTCAAATTAGCACCAATTCGCAAATTGCGACGCTTGCAAGTGCAACAGACTCCTCCTACTTCAGTACGAAAGTCTTTCAGACTGCAGTGACTGCACTGTGAAGTCTGCATTTTCGATATAATTATACAGGCAAAAAAACCGACCTGAAAGAAGCTATTTCAGGTAAAAGAATAAGGCGAATCGGAAACGGTCCCGACGATTTGCCGAACATTTTTGTGCGCGAAATTCGCAAAAAAGCTTTATCTTGCCCGTTTGGTGATAATGCTGTGCGCCATTGCCGTGACGCATGAACCGAAAATTTTGTTATTGTAAAATGGTATTTGTTTTCGCCGTTCATGCTGTTAATAATTGCTGGCCGATATCAGCCCGAACGGGAAATTCTAAGACTTCCTTAGGACCTTGCCATCTTTTCAATGCCTGTAAACAAGTCGGGGGCCAAGTTAAGGCCTGAATTACGATCTATTAACCAATGGCTAATGATAGTCCATGGTGTAACAATCCGAAAATAGCTTAATTAAGACGGTACTTGAACAAGTAGTCTTAATTAAGTGTCGATTAGGAGTGATTTTCTTGTTTACAATAACAACTGTGTTCCCAGGAGAATAAAGCCTGATTACCGTCGCTGGGTCAAACAAAAAAACAGGCGGTTTTTATGAAATTGCCCCACTAACCAGCTAGTTTGAAACGTCAATACAAAGCCGCTTACTGGGAGTCTATAAATATTGCAAATTTGAATTTTATGTGGTTTATACTTTCAAATTTGATCATTTTATTGCAAAATTATTCGACGTTTTAATAACATCGGCATTCCGGGCGGCCGAAATGTTAATAGTGTGACGTTAGGTGGCCTTTGAGATTGCTAATTCGCAGATGTTTGCCATACGTACACTGCCAAAAATCCCACCGTAAACAGCGCATCTTTAGCGATTTTTTCCAGCAGTGTAGGACCAGTTCAATTTTCAATAATACCAACCCATTCGATTTCGGACTAAGCCTAATTTATGTTACTCATTAATCCTGATGGATGTTCTTTATGAATGGAGCTTTTCAAATGCAAATTTCCATCGGAACCCGGGTTTTTTCGACCTAGCCGAAACAGTTTCAAGTTGCCCCAGTCCACGACTAATTAGTGATTATAACAATTGATGGTAGTCTGGCCCAAGTTTTCTGGCAGTGACGCAATTATTGTCGTTCTTTTTCTATTACTGGTCCGGAAAGAGTGAAGAAGCGAACGGTTTTTTGCAATCTTTTGCGTGCGKTTTAAGGGGACACTCTTTCTCATCRTATTATGRCTAATTGGAGAAKTTCACAAATKCAAGAGCCACTAGTAGTAATTGTAAGCATTCTCATCATCAGMAGTCTTTCTATGCCATTCTTGTGTGCCAAACTGTGTTACATTTTTACAGTTTTTTTTTTGAAGCGAAAGCGATATCTGAAAATACTTACGAATTTCAAGTGAAGAACTGGACGAATCGAATCATCAGAATCTCCATACAAATTTGAGAAAAATTGGCCTCATTTCCACCTAAAACATTTAAATCGGTTAATTTGAATTTCACAGTTCTTATAAAATTTAGAACGTTCTTCAGTGATTAATGCGATTACGATCTCTTGCTTCACCGCAAAGTCGGTACATCCTCTCCGTATGCCGATAATGTAGAGCGAAACCTGATTTGGATATCATTATAAAGTATCATGCGAATTCAGGTACAGAAAATCCTTCAAATTACTAAATACTCGATCAATATCGCTTTTAAAATATGTGCCAACCTTGTGCCTGTTTTCATAAATAAGTCACCGATTTTCAATACATTTCTTCTCTGCTAAACCGTTAAACTTCATTGATTTTCGGCTTGTTAAGTGGTAGTCGATAGGAATTTGGTCGGTGTGTTCGTTTCGCGCAATGCGACTAATAAGGCGAAAAACATCAGGATTTTTACGAAAGTTGTTGATGCGATTCTGAATAAATAAAACTGAATTTCGCATTCTATAACGGGGCCTGTTGCGGTTWTCTCACTCCCACACAAYGGCGCTGTGAGRGATGCACGATAGCCTGTGCGTTGCTACGTTCCAACTTGACACCCTCACAACTGGAAATGTTGCAGTTTTGAGCGCGTTAGAATGGTCTAGCTTTACTACCAATAATTTTATTTTTATTATTTTTTTACATTTTCATAGCCTCTGCCGAAAGTCTTAAACCCCCAATCCGAGTATCCGTCTTTTATATTCCGTTTTTAGTCTTCATACCCTTAGGATTAACAGAACTTAGTTATAAACGCTATAAACCTTCAAAGTTACAACATAACTGTTCATTTTTACATTGGCTTTTACACATTCGTTGTCCATATTGCGTTGTATTAAAGCTCTTAATCCAGTTCAAGCTGTAGATAGTAGCTTTAATATAAATCTCGCCTTTTTGACTCTCCATGGATCCCATCGGGTTTTGTTGTTTGGTTTTGATTGTTCGTGCCGAATCGATTCTCGTTTAACCCAGTTTCAGGCCAAAAATGGGCCAGTTTAATCTATGATTTATGATGGTGCCAGCTTACGGTTCATCTGCTTCCAAACAACTTATTCCAAACTCGTGTGTTCGTGCCAAAAAAACAGTTTGTTTATTTCAATCTGTGTGCCACCGTTTAACTTGTTTTTCTCGTGTGTTGTTATCAAGTTACATCTTCTTCATTTAGGCCCTGTAGGGTCTGTTGAATCGGATTTTTGGGGGCGGCTGTTACCCCACAGGGGTCATGAAATGGGGCTCCGA